TTTAAAAAAAAAACTCTGAAGGGTCTCGCAGATCTTAGGTAAAAGGATGTTCTTTTTAAGTGTCCAATCCCATCACTTCACGGCAAATAGATGGGGTAACAGTGGAAACAGTGGCTGATAGTTGGATGGCATCACCGACTCAATGGACATGAGTTTGGGTAGGCTCCGGGAGTTGGTGATGGACAGGGAGGCCTGGCGTGCTGCAGTCCATGGGGTGGCAAAGAGTCGGACACAACTGAGCGACTGAACTGAACTGAACTGAACTAACAGAGGGAAGACACTTCTGTCCATAGAAACAGTAAGAACATATCTAAAATTTTGTTTATTCCTCTAAGTTCTGAAAGCACATTAAAGAAGAGTAACAGCATTCCACTTTGGCTACAAAGTGCTAATAACTACCTTCATTTCTCTCAGTAGTAAAATATTACATTATTTTATAAATGAAGTTAAGCATCACAGTCTTCTAATTGTTATACAAATATTGAATATTTAGCAGCAGTGTCTGTTTAATTCTCTAGACATCTCTTAATGGTGTAAATATTATCAGCACAGCCATAAATATTTTCTGCTTTGTCCATAGACAATCAGCTAAGGATCTGTTCCTTGTATGACTTAAATTAAGATCTATTTAAGACTGCCTGCTGGCCACAAAATAATTACTTACACTTGCAAATGCCTGAGTCTATTAGATTTAGCAGCTAGAAGTGTTCTTTGCTTTTGCAAGGAGGAATAAGTTGTTTTTCCTATATAAATTTTATTGTTGATTGTATTAGAGAGGATTAGGGTGTGGTTGAAATAGTTGAAATTTTAATTAATGTAATCCCTTTAACCGCAATTGTTTTTGAGTTGATAATTCTCTGTAACAACAGTACTACAGATCACACCCTTGTGAAATATTTACACTAAATATTTTAGCATAAAATCTCTCCTCCAGCTTTGTCTTTCTAGAATTATAAGATTTTCAGCTTTGGCTTTCTTCTTTTCCTCTCTCACCTAACATGCAGGGAACCAGAATGACTTCTTTTTTTTCCCTCAGCTGATTTGTCAATGTCATCATCTCTCAGTAAGTTATTTTGTTGTTGTTCAGTCACTCAGTCTCACGTCCGACTGTTTGCAACTGCATGGACTGCAGCATGCCAGGCTTCCCTGTCCTTCTCTATCTCCTTGAGTTTGTTCAGATTCATGTCCACTGAATCAGTGATGCCATCCAACCATCTCATCCTCTCTTGCCCCCTTCTCCTCCTGCCCTCAATCTTTCCCAGCATCAAGGTCTTTTCCAGTGAGTCAGTTCTTCACATCAGGTGGCCAAAGCATTGGAACTTCAGCATCAGTCCTTCCAATAAATATACAGGATTGATTTCCTTTAGGATTGACTGGTTTGATCTCCTTGCAGTCCAAGGGGCTCTCAAGAGTCTTCCCCAGCACCAGAATTTGAAAGCATCAATTCTTAATGGTCATCAATCATTAATCTCCTAAAAGAGCATGGATGCTATGAAATATGAATAGTTAAATTTTTTATTCTTGGGTTTTGGTATCTGCATTCTTTAGTGTAGTTTTTCATTTGAAATGATTTGTTTACTCAATGATTTTAGTAAATCATTGTGCTGCTAAAATTATCACTAGGAGTAGAGTCATATGAAGTATGAAATTGTTATTTGGATTAACCTCTGATTATCTCCTGTGTAAACTAGGAATTGTTCTTAATCTGCTCAAATGTTGTATTGTTCAGGTGAGATTTTCTCTCACCTCCCAGTATAAAATTACAATCAGTTTCCTTTCTCCAACACCATTCTCCCCTCCAACTGGCTTTATTTTTCTATATAGCAGTTATCATCATGTAACATTATAAAGAATTATATATCTGTTTTTGTTTTGTTTAGTTGTTTGGCTTTATTTTTTTTTTAGTACATCTCCCTTGACTAAGATGGAAGCTATTCTAAAAGCAAGGACTTGGATTTGTTTACTGTTATATCCTGAGAGCCAGACAAGTGCCTCAAATATAGGAATACTGTAAGCAGTCAATAATTACAGCTTTTCTCTCATTTTTTTTTCTGGTGTCTAAGGCACCAAATCAGTGCAGAGAAATGGAAATTTCCCCTCCTCCCAGCGTGCATTTGTATAGCTGACAATTGGATGTAAGAGTAAGCATTTTTCCTGGGTTCAGTGTCTTCTCAGTCCAAGTGGAAGCATGTCCCTTTGGAACAGAAGCAAGGAGTGTAAGACTTGACTACATCTTCATTAAAGAGCTAAAGCTTTAGGTTGTGCCCTGTTGTTTGGCATTCCATCCACGTGTTTGCAATTTTAAGAGTAATACAAGCAGAAAATCTCAAAGGATGCTCTCTAGGACTCTGCTTATGTGGTATACAAGTAGGGATTACTAAAACCGAAAAGAAGTTCCATGATCAAATAAGTTTCTGAAACTGGGTAGTACATGAAGCTAAGGAAGGTTCTTAATGTCAAGGCCTCTCAGAGGTATGATCATACTCATTAGGGCTCTCCAAGGCAAGAGGACCTGAGGCTTGGTCATAGTTCTTCTATTCTGCCAGCCTACTCTTGCTCCCATAACTAGGTTCCGTATAGGGAGCTCCATTGACTTAGGAGTTGAAAGGGCCAGATCAGGTGGAGAGAAAGTGGGTTCCGACTCCACCACTTACTCACTCTGTTATATGACCTTGGGCAAGTTGCTTAACACTTCTCTATGCCTCAGTTGTCTCTTCTGTAAGATAGAGATGAAAAGGATTACCCAGGATAATACATGTAAAGCAACTGATCCATAAGTGCTAAATAAATACAGGGTATTGTCAACACCTTTTATCAGAGGTGGAAATGAGTGCTTCTTAAATATATATCTTCAAGCATATTTTTTAAGACAGGCTTATTATTACTGACCCACACCCAGAATCAGCTAGCTGTGCCTTTTTTTTTTTTTTTGATCTCAGCACTCTGTCCCCATCTCAGAAGCTCTGTGTATGTAAGTGGAAGTGGAAGAAATGCTGTCTTTCAACAAGACTTAATACAAATGTCTGATAACTCACTTTGGTGTATCCCGCAGAGCTGATTTCCTGTGTTTCAGTATCCTTGACCTCAGATGAAGACACTTTTGTCAGGAGAAAGGTGGTAGCATCCATGTTAATGATTGTGCAGATGGCTACATGCTGGTAAATTTTGAAGTGACCATATTTTTTCAGTAAATTTCAAATGAAGGTGTTATTTGTGTAAACCTGACCCTGTCCAGTAAAATGTGCATTTCCATATATTTAGAATTTATAAATCCTGACAGATTCCACAATATTTATAGCCCTCCATAAAAAGTCTTTGCCAGTTTGCAGAGCTATGCATTTGGCTCTCTGGTATGCTTAAAAGAGTTTAAATAATAATAAATTTGGTGATTTATTCCACCTGGAACAGAAATTTATCCCCCCCCCCCCCTTGGCTCATTTTGAAGGGGATACTATAAATAGTGCCACAGACGCTGGGATCAGGAATAGGATATTGAAATTCAAGAGAGAACAGAAACATTTCCACTATCACTGATGCCTTGAATATATTTTTAAAACAGTTCTGTTCCTCAAATAATGTACCTTCTCTCCTTTCTCCTGCCCCTTCTCAGTGATACTCAGACCCCCAAACCTGTTGCCAGCTTTAGGATTCAGTTGCATTAATGGGAAAGAGAGAGTGAAAGTTTTAGCTGACTAGATAGGAAGTTGCCTCCAGGGAGGCTGAAGCAAGTCTCCAATGTTCATCTCATATTTCAAAGGAGTCAGCCAGTAACTGAGCATCAGTGTCTAAAGTGTAAATTCATTATTTGAGACTCAGCTTATGCATCCTGCAGATATGATGGAAAGCTCCTAGTTCATGAAAAAAAAAAAAGAAGAAGGAAAAAAAAAAAGCCTAGGGACAATGTCAGAGGATTGAATCTTTTACCCATCCGTGGTTATAATTACCCACTACAGGATAATAGAGAAATACCTGAATAGTTGACTCCAAATGATACCATTTTTTAAAAACACAAAATGAAACCCAAATTGGAAAGCCAGTTGTTTGCTATAGTGTCAGTCTGCTGATGAAACCTGAGAGCAGCCATTTAGTTTCACATAAGTGGTGTTGTAACTTGTGATATGACAAGGAGACTTTTCAGTTTCTTGTTGGAGTAGAACGCGAATTAGCCTTTGTGTGAAAGAAAATAATAATAATGGCTAACATCCATGGAGAGCTCACTGTGGGCCAGCACCGAGTAAACACATCAAGTGATTGTGACCCTTTGCCAAAACCTTCTAATTAAGTGCTGGCTTTTCCTGTCCTGATAAGTTGGAGCACACCCCCGCCCAAAGTCTTTCCTGAATGATCCCCTTGCCTCTAGCTAATAGGATGGCAGATGTTTGGACCAAGCCCCAGAGCCTGGAGTGTACCACATTTTAATGATTTGTGGTGAACAAAGTAAATGCTTTAAAAGCAAGCTTTATGAAGCAGGGACCCTGTTAAGAGTGATGGATTTGAGGTGAAGCAAAAAGAAACTGAATGTTGTATGGGGGTATTGTCTCCCAAGAAAATCTATGGTTCATTGCAAATTCTAAAGCTTCACTTGAAAAATGACTTTTTAAAAACCTGTGCTCTTGAGGAACGCCCTTGAGGTGCAGAGGAATCTCCTTGCTTTTCTATAGCATCTTTCTAAGGGGATGCGGAAGTATTGAGCTGTTAGACAGTTGCTCCGTGTCTTTGTGCTTCTGGGATCACATTATGGGTCTAACACATATGGGATAAATAAACTGTTTCATTTCTTAAAGATCATGGAAGGAAACAAGACAAGAAAATTACCATATTGTCTCTCTCTCTCTTTTTTAAGCTATTAAAGAGGAGAATCCAGTTATGGCAAATAAAAATGATTGCTGCAGACAGGTTTTTTTTTTTTTTCCTTCCTTTTTCTCCTAGCCTCCTACTTAGTAATAGCAATATGGCAAGATTTGTGTCATAGCAGTGTTTTGACGCGCCCTCTTTTGTTCTTCTTCCATAGGGCAACCCCTACATGTGCAATAATGAGTGTGATGCAAGTACCCCGGAACTGGCACACCCACCTGAACTGATGTTTGACTTTGAAGGAAGACATCCCTCCACCTTTTGGCAGTCTGCTACTTGGAAAGAGTATCCCAAGCCTCTCCAGGTTAACATCACTCTATCTTGGAGCAAAACTATCGAGCTAACAGACAACATAGTTATTACCTTTGAATCCGGGCGTCCAGACCAAATGATCCTGGAGAAATCTCTTGACTATGGACGAACGTGGCAGCCGTATCAGTATTATGCCACAGACTGCTTAGACGCTTTTCACATGGATCCTAAATCCGTGAAGGATTTATCACAGCATACGGTCTTAGAAATCATTTGTACTGAAGAGTACTCCACGGGTTATACGACAAATAGCAAAATCATCCACTTTGAAATCAAAGACAGGTTCGCATTTTTTGCCGGACCTTGGTTGCGCAATATGGCTTCCCTCTATGGACAACTGGATACCACCAAGAAACTCAGAGATTTCTTTACAGTCACAGACCTGAGGATAAGGCTTTTGAGACCCGCTGTCGGGGAAATATTTGTAGATGAGCTACACTTGGCACGCTACTTTTACGCAATCTCAGACATAAAGGTGCATGGAAGGTAAGAAAACAGTTGTTTGGCTTGAATGAAAATGGGTGTGTCCAAAGAAAAGGCCAGCTTACTGGTTGTGCAGCTGTAGAGTGACATTTGTCACTTTCTATTGCAAGATTTTCTCAGGAATACCAGCCTAGAGGTAAGTTCTGAGGCATTTGAGACCCTCAGCAGTAATTTGTGATCCCAGACTTGCTGTCATTGATCCTGAACCTGGCGGGATTTCATAGCGTTTAAACCAAAGGCGAAAAAGAAAAGCATCTTACTTGAAACCAAGGAACTCTCTAGCTCAGGGGGTGGTTTAAGTCCTTAAGGCGAGGAAGCCAGGGCAACAAAGCCAGCGTCTCAGTAAAAGGAACTGAAAAACAGGAAATACATCTTACTATTGTTTTTGAATTCAAGAGAGGGTTTCAGCCTGGTGCCACTCTCTGTTTATGTTTTGTTACATAGTATTAAAAAAGTTCTGAAAATGAAAATTATATCTCTTTACATTTATTAAATCAGAACCAAAAGCATTTAGGAAACATTGCATTTGTTAAAGAGGGGAAAGCTTTACTTTTCAGGGTTTTGGATGTTATTATCTTAAAACAATAAGCTGTCATTTAAAATATGAGTCAGGCTGTCTTCATTTTGTCGGTCAATTACAGACTGACCAAAGTTCAAATGCATTAATGCTCACAGTCAGGTATATCCTTGTTTTGATAATATACCAGAGACACAGTTGAGCAGGTTTCCAAGGACTTTGAAGACATTTAAATAAAAAACTTGAATAATGAGAACCAAGACCACCAACAGAGATTTTCAACCTATTTTTTGTGTGGCATATTACCAGAATAACCAGCTGATGGGAGCTGAAGCTTGAGATGATGAGGTAGGAAAACTAAATAGAAGAGTGGAGTACAGAGCACAATGGGGGGAAAAATGGAAATGTGAAGCAGAGCGAAAAGCATTCTAAAAATGCCAATAGAGCTTTAAATCGAATATATGACAATAAGAATACAAACAGTACATATATCATGTAGCTTTAGTTAACTGTGTAGGTTTATTTAATCATATATGTAAACAGTGCATACATTGTGTATGTTTAGCTAAACAACAAGTCAGGATTCATTAAGTTTACTGGCTTCCAGCATCTCTTATGGCAGCCTAGTCCTCAGAGACTAGAGAAGTGTTGAGACTCCCTGGGCTTTCAGAGAGTTGTCTCAACCCACCTTTAGTGAGAGTGCTTATACACTTGTGCACTAGAAGAATGGTCACTGCTGCTAGGTGAGGGCCATAGCGGGCATACAGAATGAGGTGGTGGGCATGAGCTCAGTACAGAGGCAAAGGGATTTTACCGCATGGAATCTTACTTACGGAGGGTAGCAGGAACTGATGGCCACCTATTCTCAGCTTTGTTCTAGCTTCACGTTTCAAATGGAAGAGTCGCGTCGTTAGCTATGGAGCCCCTTTAAAAACTTTTAACCAAGGCTTGGTGAAGTTATCTTTAGAGCAATATCTGAAATGTTCTGAAAGAAATATGCACTGGTTCAATATTGAGCTTGCGGGTTCTAGGATTCATATATTACCAGGGTATAATGAGAGAGCAGTGTGGAGCTCTGACCTTAAATATGAGCTTGTGATTTATAAGAAAAAGCAGCTATTGTACCTATGAATATTTTAGCACAATATCAGTTTCCAGTATCTTATTCTTGGGAACATGTAATATATAAAAATAGTTGACGTTGATATTGTTAATAATAGCAAACCATAACAAAGTAACAGGTATTCTGTTTATCTACAAGAATAATTGAAAAATTAAATTTGAAGCCCAGCATGATCTATATTGTTAGGTAGAATCACCTAGGTCAGTTTACTTACAGTTTGAGAACTCCTTAATCTAAGCCAAAATCTTTATAGTCCAATTTTTCTAAAACTCTCATTTTGCACTTATAAAAAAAGGCAGTCTTGTGATGTTTTTTTGGCTGGGAAATAACCATTGTTGGGCCTTATTTCTGTCATTAGATATTTATTTTTGTTTCCTCTGAGTAGTCAAGAGAATGTAAAGTATATTTTAAAGCTAAAGGCACTTTTGTGCATTCTTTACTGGGGTCAAACATACTGTCACTTAAAGGTGCCATGGTAAGAGTGTAGAATCCCATCAGATTTATGAGTTATCTTTTAGCCCTTATCCTAGTACTGTCTTCAACTGCATTTCAGTGGTTCTGAGGAGTTTAGAGGAGCCCTCCTCCCTTCTCTGGAACTCACCTCCTCTATCTTTTCCTGTTCACCAGTCAACTGTAAGCTGGTAAGGAAGCAGCTGGGCAAAAGAGAAAGGTCCAATAGAGGTGAGCCCCTTCCATTAGGTTCCACTCTGTCACTTCCAAACTCTGTCCAAATTCCTCAGGGCAAAACTGATGCTGGCATGTACTGTGCTAGGCACCAGATGGCTGGGGTATTTTTAGTCTTAGAGGAGGGACTAAAGAACTAAGGCCTGATGGCTCAGGCGTGTCTCCAGCTTCTAAGTTATATAAGGAAGATGGTGCCACCAAAGGGGACTGTTAACTTGTTGCCTGGTTCGCAGCCCTTTCAGCAAAGAAACTGATACAGAGTAGAAAATTCCCATTGGGTTAAAATCCTGAGTTTTCTTCTTCCTGCATAGTAAATAATCTATAGAGGGATTGAACATTAATTGATCATCTCTAAAATAAAGTTCTAAAAGTTTCTTTTCAAGAATATTATAAATACAAACTTTCCAAAATATAACTGAAGTCTTTGCTTCCCTCAGCCCTCTTCTCCAGCCTTGATGTGATTGCAGTGTTTAACTTACTTTTACATGTCTGTGTCTGATCATGATAATAGATATTTTTCTATCTGTCACTCCACCTCCACCCCCACCATAATGTGAGAATTGGCATGCGTTGTTTGGGGAAAATGGGTAAATTTCCTTACAATAGTGGACACATAATACTACAGCTTTTTCCACTTGAAATATTAAGCTATGAAACAAAAACAGTCGAGTGTCTTTGTTTGAATTGACTGAAGACTATAACCTCCATTTCTCCACTTCCTGTGCACATGTGTATATAGCCTTTATGTTTTATACTGGCTAGTATAATTTTCTGTAAAAAATGATGTTTTGATTGTTACTAAACCAGTGTAGCATTTATGTTCTTTTTTAGCATGTGACACATCTGATACCAGTTTCAATGGTGACAACAACTATAATCACATCGTAAAAATTTTATTCCTCTTTTGCCCACACTTTTTTGGCTTCCATTTACTCCATCTTATTGTGTAATTTATTAAGATAATGGAGGAAAAAGAAGCACATGGCTGTTGGCATTCTTAGTGATTCTGTGTTACTTACATTGTTCAATAAACCTAATAATCTTCATGGACTAATTCTGACTTATGGATGTCCTGCTTCAGTAAATCAGGGTGATTTTCTCTAGTGAATAATAGAGGAGTGAGTGTGCCAGTACCTTAATTAAAGAGTGGCTCTCTTAGTCTTGATCTCATTTTAATTTACAGGGTAATACTACAATAATATTACTAATGGAAAGTACATTAAAGGGCATCAAGTAGCATTAACTGTATTAAATTATGGTACTTGTGTTAATTAACTGCTGAAGCAAGATGGTTCTAATGGCCAAAAAGGTCATCTAATGCATAAATAAAATCTACCCAGATGAGGGGTGAGAGGAAAAGTGAAGAGAAGATGTTTGTTCTGAACATCTTTTTTATACAGACAGAGAGTTAAATGCCCAGGCTGTTAAATACAGATAATGTCCAAAATGTATTCTTAGTTACACAATTGGAAGTTCTGCTTTTTAAGTGTTTTGTTTCTGTCTAAAGTTTGCAGATTTAAATTAATCAAAAATTAAACATTATATTTCTCACATAGATAGACTTTATAGAATATAAATTCAATATTATTGTTTCTTTAAGGTGAAGAGCTTCAAGGAAGTAATGTGATTTATTGTAATAATTGTCCCTTCTGAAAGATCGATGATCGTTGGACAATATGTTCATTGTTTTGTAAGATATGTTGTCAGCAATATATCATATATAAGATAATAGAAAAATTTTTTTCAGCCTCTAGAAGGTTTAGCATAGGATTGTAAGAACTTTTCTCAGTGGTAGAAAACGCTAATGAACATCTCCATTACTTACCTTATTACACAATATTCCTAAACATTATTATCAATATTTTTTTCTCAGTGGTGTTTACTCATTTCTTAACACCTTCAGGGCCTACCCAAGCTCTCTCCAGGCAGTTGGCTGTCAGTTACTATTTACAGGATTGACTTTGCCCTCTATGCCTCCATCTATCTTTAAGAAAGGAACCAGAGAGCACTAGCACAGAAGCTCCACTTCTACCAGTTTTGGGTCCTTTCTGCCCTTCACTGATGCCCCAGCTTAGAACCACAGCCTCCCTGCCTAGTCTCAGGAGCTGGGAGGGTCCAGGAGCAGAAGTATTCTCTTTAGGTGTCAGGAGTGAGAAAGGTCCCCCTCTATCCTAACCTCAGAAAGAATAAGATATACTCGTAAGCCCTCACTATAAAATATGACTGCTGTGGTATTTGCTCTAACTGGGACAAAGTGTGGTTGCAATTCACTTTCTTGAAGCAAGGTTTTCACATGGTTAGTGCACAAACATGTGATATAAGTAAGTAGAAACACCTGTGGAAACTTAAAAGTATAAAAGCACCTGAGCATTCTTCAGTTTTTTTTTTTTTTCAAATAATTTGGAAAACACATGTAATACAAAAATGCTCTGCCAATGATAAAAGACTGACATTTACCCTACAAGTTTTCCTACTCTTTTTCCTAGCTGCAATTTGAATAAGTCCAGTAAAATATTTACTCTTCACCTCTCCTGTGAGAGGCATCCTGAAGGGTGCTTTTGACACGTTTGGCCTGGCATTTGTCCATTCTTCCCAGTTAGTCCTGATTATTATTGGACTTTGCTACTGCTTAACAGACTCTGCTTTTATAATACCTTTCTTCTTTCTGTTACCCAAAAA